GGCTGTTTTGAAGCTGGTCCTGGGCCCTGTTGGGACTTGCAGTTCCACAGTGAAGAACGAATATCAGGGCTCAAGGCTCAAGGCTTAGGGCAATGGAGAGGGCTTGAGTCCAGATTTCACCAACAACTAGACTTTACCAATCAATGTAACAGAGATTAAGAGGAAAATGTTACACATGTCATGTTCATGTTCATGGGTTGGTTTCCCTCTTCTGGGGGAATTTTGGCCAGTACAACATGATGGCTGTGTTCCTGCCAAGGATGAGACTGGAGCTGCTGATACTGCAGCAGAAGCATCTGTGCTTCATGCAGATGGCTCTGGCCATCCTGTAGACCAGAGAGATTTGCAAATTAGCCCCATGGCAAGTTTTTCAACAATGGGGGCTGTTCCAGCTGCTTTCATCTAGCAGAGCCCTGACAAGAACAACAAAGCCAAAAACCTCCTCACTCCCACACAAATCTGTCTGCCCTTTTTAGCAAAATCAGTGAAAGCAGTAGTACCAGAACACCCTTTTTAAACAAAATATTTGTCCCCCAAACACTGGAAATGCACATCTATCTATATCTATTTTAGCTCCATTTTACTTCTCAGCATCAAACCCTACAATTTCTCTTACATTTCTATATACTGTGCTGCACAGCTGACATATTGCTAACCCCATGCCAAAGCACAAGCTGTAATAATACTATCAGACCAGCATTTCAGAGAGTTTTTCCTCACTAACCTGTGTCTGACCTTTAATTGATAAACAGCAAAGTGGATCTGATAGTAGGGTGATGCAGAGGCCTTATATCTCTTTATAACTTCAACTGATTGCCCCTAAAATTGAGATAAAGTGATACAAGACCACAGTGCCTGATATGAGAAAACACATTACTTAGCACACAAGCTGAATGCTGAGGCAGAGCATGGAAGGATTACACAAGTAGAAGAAGGACAAGAGAATGTGGAACAAAAATGTCTGTGTTGAGAATCTTGGTTGATCTGTCAGAATTAGTCATTCAGTTGTATACAGATTAAAGCCACCTTGTTTGATTAGTCTCAAGGCTTACCAGGGAATTTAGCCACACAAGTCATTAATTTCAATGAGCATATTTGTAGCTAACTACCTTTGTAGACTCTGAAAAGGTGTACATCTTGATATGACATATTTCTTCCCATGAGCTTCTCATGGACTGAGAGCAGCAACAATGAAGAAAAGTGTTTCTACACGTGCAAGTTTATCCAAAGGGGGTGCTTAATGTGGTGATTTATTTTCAGCTCCTACTGCTCTTATTAAGCAGAAGATGAATATAGAAATATTGTTATAAATAGAAGGCCACACTCATGGCCATGTGCTGTGAGTCATCACTGTTAATTATTCAGATGTATTTTCAAAGATACCTGGAGATTTGCAAAAACGAATGGTTGTAGAATGAGTTTAGCTATTTAGCATTTTTACTGACATATATGTACATGTCTAGATATGCATCTATTCTGTTTTCTCCTGTTAACATTTTCTCTCTGTAAATAAAGAGGAGGAATTGTGTCACATGTTAGAAGTGGCTAGTCACACGATGCAGTGAATAATGAAGTGTGTGTGCAAACCAGCTGACAAATCCCCCATGCTAAGCTTTATTGTATGCAAACTATTTGGCAGGTGCTTGTGACTAATGGATGGATTTTTCTAGCAATCACGACCAGCTAGTGGACAGCAGACTAATCCAAAAAGTGATGGTATTTCTTAGAATAAATTGCTTTCACAGCTTTATTAGCTACATATGATCAACCAAGGAAGTATTTTGCTTCTGTGCCCATTTTAGTTGTTGAGTCTGAGTGTTTTTTTAATAAGAGCAGTGGCAACACCATACAGAAAGAGTGAGAATGTACAGGAGTAAGGGTCAACTTTCAGGTTGCTTATATCAAATCAAGGATAGCCTCAGGAATCATCATTTTCTTTTGAAAAGTAAATGATACAGGAAATATTTCCAGCCTGGAATGGAGTTGTCTGCACTGATAAATGTTACAGCAGTTCACAGCCTGATTCAGATCTGGGACCACTAACATAATATCTTTCCAAGCCACTCCCAGTTGCAGCTCAGCAACTATCACCAGTCAGGGATCATTCTTGGCAGTATTTGTATGTGGAGCCAAACAGTTTCAGAAACTTAGGGACTGAGACATCAGCAGCATGGACGCGAAGTCTCTTACAGGAGTTGTTCTCAAAAAATATTATCTGCCCAAAAATATTAAAAAAAAATCAATCTGCTAAGGATTATGTAACCCCTGTGCCCAGGAAAGGTTTTTCACTGTGTTCCAACTCCTCTGCTTCCCAGATAGGTGGGACACCACTCTTTTGCTATCCTTATTCCTGGTCCCTAGGACTGTTGCAGTTTCATCAGCATCTTTATCTGTCCTTGCCTTCTCACTCCCTGTGAGGAGGAAACTGTTTTGCTCTCTTGCTAAGCCAACATTCAGCCTCACAGCTCAGCATCTGCAGAAGTGTCAAGGGGGATGCTCCGCACAAGTCCACCTCACTGTCAGTAAATGTTTACTTGCTCTCCCTTCCAAAACTTTGTCTTCAAATTTATATCTCCTTGTTTCTTAAGATTCATAGAATCATAAAATGATACAGGATTAGAAGGGACATAATGATTATCTAGTTCCAACCCCACTGCTATGGTCAGGGACACCTCCCACTAAAGCAGGTTGCTCAAGGCTTTATCCAACCTGGCCTCGAACACTGCCAGGACTGGGGCATTCACAACCTCCCTGGGTAAACTATTCCAGTGTCTCCTCACCCGTGCAGTAAAAAATTTATTCCTAATGTCTAACCTAAATTTCTCCTCTTCCAATTTGTACCTGTTACTCCTTGTTCTATCAACGTACAATACCCCTTGTTTTTTAAAAATCACTCTGGGACCTTCCAGCACCTTATCTCAGTCCCAAAGTGCCTCTACACAATGCAGTGAATAACCAACTTGCCTTCCCTCAGCTCATTTGCTCCAGGAGGCACAATCCACCTCTGTTTTGCTCATTATTTCTCTTGGCTACCGTTCCTGTAGCAAATGCCAGGATTCTTCCTTCAGAGAACAGCCAAACTGAGCTTCATCTCAGATGTGCCAATATCAGAAATAAATGATAAAAATAACAATAAGCAAAAGGAAAGCCGTACCACCTGCTATCAACTACTGTTGTGGTGCCTGGTAAGTTGTGTGGACCATGCACACAATGCATGGCACTGTTTGGCAGCACAAATTTTCTCTGTAATCACAGCACAGCCAGTGCTTTTGAACATATAATTCAGAAGGGATTTGCTGAAATCCAAGACCACTAGCACTAAAGTCCTGAGGTTCCTCAGTGTTTACAAAAAACACCTTTGCTCTTACATTTTTCGGGAAAGTGTTCACCATGTACCTCCAGAATTACTTTTGCTGCACAACAACAAGGAAGCTCAGGGTGAAATATGGTGTGTAAATACCAAATCTCTGACCCACATCATCCTTTCTCAGCTCCACATCTTCTCCAGAACCAGCAGAGAGGAGGATATGAACATCCTTGCATATACAGAAGAAAGAAAATCAGCTCTCCTCACAGCTGGAATATTTGGCCATGCCCTGAGAGCTGTTAAAAACAGTCTGTCTGATGTACTAGAGATGCCAGAGAGCCTTTCCCTCACACCAGTTGCCTATGTCTGTAGCAGGACTGATATGAATTCCTCACTGCAGTCAGTGTTGGGGATACCACTATCCTGGCCAGTAATTGCTCACCCTGATAAAACCTCAGGAAGCAGCCCTATCTCCTCCTCCTGATGCACGCTGCAAAATGACTGTGCCATGGCTGCTGGGGATGTTGACAAGAACAGACCCTCCACAAATAGCCATTATTCCCCAGCCAACACAGATGCAACGTGTTGCTTCTTTACAGATTATGTAGGCCAGTTAAATCAACTAATTTATACCTTGCAATGGGTGAAGTAACAGGAAAAGAAATGTGTCTTGTTTATTCTCCATCTATGTGGCAGATGTCGGTAGGTTTAGTGTAATAATGTCCTGTATATAAAATTGTTGGGTGCCAGTGACCCACTGGCAGCAGGCTGAGGAGAGCTCCCCTGTGACTCCATTTCCAGAGTTTGTGCAGAGCCTCCACATTCAGTCATCACCAAAAGGAGCTGCTTGGCTTGGCCAAGGCAGCTCCCAAAAGGCTCAGTACAAAGGACCACAAAAAAAAAAAGCCAAATGCAGGAATTTGTGCCCCTCTTTGTCCTTTGTGACCAGAGCAACTGACCTAAGAACTGGTACTCCCTTGCATCTTTGAAATCCGTGTCATTGAGCATGGGTTATTTCTGGGGCTAAATTCTTGTCTTGCCACCTGGAATAAATTTGGAAGTTCCCACGTAAACTAAAGGGTCATACTTAAATTCTTATTAAGGAGAAGAGATTTCCTCTCCTGAGGTTTTTATAATACAGAAATTTTTGTTTCTCTTTTTCTCTTTTGTAACTATGCATTTGGAATCTTCTAATAATTTTTTCATCAGAACAATGTAAAAGAACCAAATCAGTCTGTAAGTTGCTACAGATTGTTGCTATGAATTATCCCAAAGCCTTTGTGCCAGCATATTGATTGCCTTAAAGTCAAGTGAGAATAGATGCACAGCTTAGAAGAGCCATAAAAAACCCTCTACAGGAGCAAAGAGATTATTCATCCATACCATTTAAAAATGTAGCTTGTAGGTACACGAGTATGATTAGCGAATAAGTGCAGCTCTGACAACTTCAAAATTGTGACACATGCAGCCAACTCTCTGCCAATTCCTTAAATAAGTTGATTGCCTAGAAGGAAGCTTTTCTGATTAGTAATAGAAGATACAGGTAAGTATTTTCCTTTTTTTTTTTTTTGTTGCATGTATAAGGAGTTGATTCGTAGTCAAATTTTATAACACTAACCAAATCAAAGTACTGTTTCAAATATTTATTAGAATTATTACTGTGGATGTACCTTTATTCCACAGTGAGCTGTTTTATAATTTATGATTTATAATTGTATAGATTCTCAGTGTGCTGTAGCCAGACTTTGTTCCTCTCTCTGCCTGTCGACTCAGTTGGTTGCTATCTCTTCCACGCTAGATTAGTGCTTATTAGTTCTGATAGATGTTATCCTTTCAAGTTGTTGCTAGCTTGACTTTGTGGCTGGGTTAGGAGGAAAGTGTTTATCAGAACCAGAGCTGAGAGCAAGCCCTTCAATGCAGATTTTTAACTCTCTTGGCTGTTGCTGGCTGTTGAACTGCTCTGCTCATCGGTGTTGTACCAAGGATGAAATGGGTACCGAGCAAAGGGAGGTGCAGATGTTCTAAGGCAGATGTTCTAAGGCAGCTCTTTCTACCCAGCCTTATCAACCCAGCCTTGCCAGCTGCTGAGTTACTTTTCACCTAACACCTGAAAGCTGCTGAGTAGCCTCAGTGAAGGAGGCCAGCTTTTGTGAAGAAGTCACTGTGACTAGAAATGTCCCCTCAGTTCTGCCAGGCATGTCAACAGAATGGGGTGGCTCAAGATGAAGAGAAGGGGAAGACAATTTTGTCATTACCTCCATAGTCTTCTCTGCTCAGGGATGCAAATCAGTGACCAGATCTTCATCTGTGTTGCTGCAGGTCATCACCTTCATTCTGCAATGGAGCTCCAGCATCTAATGTATGTAGAGACACTCACCTGTAGACGTGGTAACCTGGAATTGTCTCCCACCTCCAATTTCTCCCTCTTGTCAGGGGAGCTACAGGAACACTAAGGGATGGTCCATCCCAACCTGTTACTAGGAGAAGCTGAGTGAGTCACTGCCTGCAGGTTCCCGTGTCTGTGTACTCACTGGAGAAGACATCCAGAATGCCAGTTTACCCTGGATACCAGCTACTACAGGGACGGAATCAGACGACATCGATCCTCTCCCTGTGATTCCCTTCAGCAAATATCCCAGCAAAGGCTGCAGCCAGCACCGCTGGTTTCAGAGGAAAGGACAAAGACATTTGCTCAAAGGAAGGTTCCTACCTGTCAGTGTTTGGGGAGGAAGTGTACAGCTTGCATGAAGATTACGTTGGAGCCCTTCAAAAGTAACTGTTTCCCATTAATAGTGGATATTACTGTCTTCTGTACAAACAATCTGTTTCTGAATTTCATGACACTCTTGAAAGTTTATCTCTTATGGTAATGAATTCCTCAGGCAAATTGTGCATTGTCTGAGGAAAAAATCTCCTTGCATCATTTTTTTCTGAATATATTTGTTATTCTAATTAAAGGGCTTCACTTCCCACAACGTTTTCTTTTAATGTTAGCTTGGACTCTGCAGGTTGGAGACAGCTGCTGCATGCTTAGAGGAGTGGGCTAATCACAGGACTGGAATTAAGGAATTTATGAGTTCCTTATAGCTTCTCCAATATGAATTGCCCAAAAAGGGCTCTTCATTAAGCATTCATTTACCTCTCAGTTTTGCTCAGTCTGTACAGATTTTACATGCATGTACATGTATTTCTGTGTCAGCCCTGAACAAGGCCAGGATCACTGGGCCCTGGTGAATGCAAATAGTTTTCTCCTCTGAGGTCCATTTACCAGCTGGATTTACATTCTGTCTGTCAGGGGAGAAATCAAAACCCTATAATATTTTTGATCTGTGAGCTTAGTGTGAACTGACTACTGTGACACCTCTGAAGTGTTGGGAGGTCCTCCCAGAAAAGGCCCAGTTTGGTGTCCTGAGATTACAGTGAGAACCAGTTCAGCTGGTTCAATGCCACAGATTAAACAAACAGAGACTGGTATTTGTTTTCTTTCACATGAATGTGTTTAGTGGGGCTCAAAATCGATCAGGAAAGAGATGTTTGGAGCTAAAAGACAGAAACTTTTTTTTTGTTTGGGTTTTTTTTTTTTTGGTTTGTTGAGCTGTGTTGGGGATTTTTGTGTTAGGAAAAGCCTTTTGGCTTTGAAACCTGCCTGCCTCAGCTATATAGATATATCAGGAGGGAATCTGTCAGAAAAAAATGGATATTTGGCAGGGAAAAATTTTCTAGTCAGACATAGAAATTAATCCTGATTAGGTTTATTAGGGTTGCAAGAAGGGTAAGTATTTATTCCATGCACTTTTTAAAGGAATTTAATTGCTGTGTGTCCTGGTCTAGTTTTGTTTTGTTCCTCACAGCTTTCTATGCTTCAATTTATATGACACAAACCAATTACCAAACGGTGCTGCCTTAACCTTTCTTTGTGCTGATCCACTCAAGAGCAGAGATAGTCACTCTTCAGTGGATCATTGTGCTTCCAGAAGGGTTGTTGTAAACCAAATGAGCTGCACTGTGTGTGCCCTTCAGCATCTTCTGCAGCTGCTGATAAAGGGCTTTCACCTTCCCCTGGCTGCCGGTATCTCTGCTACTTGTGGCATTTAGGCAGAGAATCTTTGGGGCAGGGTCGTACACCGAGAGTTGACAAAGGCACAGAGGGGTGGTTCTGCTTCATGGAGCAGTGGAAGCTGAACGAGAACAACCTCTGTATTTAGATTTAGAACCCACAAGTGCTGAATAAGCTTGAGGCAGCTGTGGTACAGCCCAGCTCACAGAAGGGTAAACCCCAAAACAGCTCCCAGGGCTGGATGAAAGCACCTCTCAGTTCTGAGTCTGCATGGAGCTGCTGAAAGAGAAGCGTATCTCAATCTGACATCTCTGAAAGGCTGAGGTGTCCAGGAGGGACATTTTCCTTGGCATCCACTGCCTCATGCTCCAGCCTGCTTGCACTAGGGCAAGAAACATCAGTCATGGCTGAATTCTCCAAGCTACTTAGGAAAGCAGAGACAGTCAAGAATCTGAGCATTTCTTATGTTATATGGCTGTTACAAACCCTTGAAAACACAATTTACTTCCCATTTATCTTCCACCTTGTCCTAAACTCAGGGTCTGGGATGTACATTGCTATGAAGAAGTCTCTGTGCAAGACCTTTGCCATTCCTGAAAAAGAAGAGCCGGCAAGGAGGCAATAACTGAGTTTTTTCTGGGGCCTCTGTCTGACATTTCTTCACTCTTTGATCCAGAGTGGGAATGCAGGATAAGCAAAAAGGCAGGTTTGCCTGTCAGTAGTGACTGGAGGAGGGTTTTTGGAGGAGCCTTCGGGCTAGTTTCCTCCCCCCACATTCTTGCCCCTATTATGGCCTCAGCAGCTCAGACAAATGGTCGGATACACTTGAGTGCACAGCCCTGCAATGCAAAGGGGATGCTGCCCTCATCATGACTCTTGTGTTTAGGTATTTTAAGCAGAAGGAGGGGTTGGGAAGGAGAAAAGAATGAGATAAGAATGTGTGAACTACTTTTTCTTTCTCTTTTGCTTACTGAGTCTTTGTTAGAAAAGCTGTCAGCCGTGCACTGTGTTATGCCAAACAACTCTACTAATCTCTTTGCATGGACAGCAAGGTCCTGCTCCAAACACTGAAAAGATGCAGCTAGAGCATTATGATCAGCTTTCCTCAAAAACCGATCATGCTTTGCTCAAAGCTGTATTGCAGGCAGCATTGCTGAAGCCCAAGTTTTGGCTTTGGTCGCTGGTGTGAAGCCTCATTAGGGCTGTAAATAGGAGCAAGGCTTGGCTAGAAAGGTGGTCCACAAAACAGGCTTTATGAATAGACTGCTAACTGTATGGGACTGACTGGGGTCAGCCCTTGGGTATTGTACCAAGCCACTGCAATCCCCACACAGCTCTGTGTGTGCGTGTGTGTGTGTGTGTGTGTGTGTGTTCTGTACTCTTCACAAGACTCTAGGAACACAGACTTCATCGTGTGATGAAGTTTGAGTGTCCCTTTGTGCTCCACTGGGACTGGAGAGAGAGAGAGGGAGAGAGGGGACATGTGCCATTCTTTCAGGTTTTCAGATTTTGTAGCAAAGAGAACTGGGCAAATACTTGAGTGAAAGGACAGGCTCAGTTTGCCAGGGAACCAGATGAAATCTGAAGTTATTCAATTGAAACCAATACAGAGATGGATCAAAATTTGGCCTTGTGCCTGGCTGGGGAGTCCATTCTGAACAGGCTACAGAAAAAATAGCTGTGGATTGCAGACCATGTCTGCAAGAGAAAGTCGAATTTGCCAGTGAAGAAAACTTCTCATTTATAAAGATTTTGAGCAACTTGCTTTGAGATATTTGCAGCGCCTTTAAAAAAACACCTCAGCTGTAATGAGCTTATGTGTTAAATTAACAAGTGTGGAAATTGGGACATGAGATATTTGCATAGCAGCCAGCAGATAATTACTGGTGATAGTCCAAGCTGAAGAATAGTATCTATTGTTTCCAGAAAACTAGTTTTCATAAAACAACATGAACTTCCTGTACTCAAAATACTCACATCAGCAATGCCTACGATGTTATGTAGCAAAACTATTAAGAAATAAGTACATGGCGGAAAAAATCCCATCCTTGACAAACTGTAAAAGATTAAACATAATTAATTATTAAATCTAACAATACAGTATGTTTAGAATGTCTCTGTACTGTATATATTTCCATTTAGTATAAAGTGCAAATAGATGCTGGTGAAAACCACTGGATTTTAGTTACACAATTGCTAGATTTTAAGCATATTTATACACATGCAGAAATGTGGAGATTAATTAATGACCTCTTAGGTAAGGAGGCCTGCAAGAGCTGGGGATCCCCTTATTGGGCATGACTAGGAATAGTTCAAGTCTTAGTCTAAGAGGGTTGGCTTGTAATATGCACTAGGAAATATAATTAGTCACTAGAAAAAGAATTCATCTTTACTCCAGTACCACGTGAGTTCAGTTCTCTCAATGTGAAATGCAACCTTCCAGATTGAGATCTCTGAGATTCATTTTTGTTTGGTGAAACAGTAATTAGTGCTGCATAAGGGGAAAAAATAAAAAGAGCTGAAAGAGCACTGATGGCAAAGTGGCAAATGCCACAGGGAGTTTTAGGCCAGTAAGCAGGGAGGACAGGCCTGCCAGACTTGCCTCTTTTGTCAGCCTAACCTCTTGACTGATAAAAAATATGGTCTTTAGTGGGAAATTCCCTGTGGAGGTATGCAAATGGAATAATGAAAAACAAATCTGTATTTATACTCTAGATCACATGGAAGCTCTGAGTGTGAAGGAAAACCCCGTTATTTGTTTGGTGTTACATTTCTCCTCCCTGTGCATCTGCCCTGGGTCACTGCTGGAGACAGATGCATGGGCTGTGAGCAACAGGGTTGGCACACTCTGTTCCTCCTTATGTTCCTGTGACTCCTGACAAAAAACAAACTGCTAGAAACGATGCTGATTGGTTTCAGAGACAGAGATGCAGAAGGCCAGGTCTCAATTACACCCAGTTACACTGGACTTACTATTAAATCAACTAACAATCAAGGCTCAGTGTCTTAAACAGTTCTATGAACACCTGTGACATTCCTCCTAGTGACTTCTGTAAAACTCCTCATGAATTTACCTGGACATCTGTGCCAGTGAGAATGGAGCAAGGTGTTGAACGTTTGCCTGAGTGCTCTTTTTGTCCTCGCTGTCAGTCTGTGTCACACCAGCAGATGCTGGGAGCAAAAGGCCAGGCCCCAGGTGGTCTCAGCTACAGTAGCTCCATGGCAGCAAGCAGAGCAGTGCCTGGCTAAATCACTTCACAGATCATATCACCAGGACTAGAGAGGATTATAATATGTGTAATATGTGTAATTTTTATCCTGCTAGCCCAAACCTCCCTCTGATTTTTTTTCTTCTGTTGCATTCCTCATACTTATTACTCTTCAAAGGTCATCTTTTGATAGGAAAGAAGTGGTCAGGTATTATTACAATATGGGTGGCAGAAGTTATGATAAGAGATGCCATGAAATGTCTGTACACAGAGACAGAATATTCATTTCCAGGGAAATGGTGTTTGCTATTTAAGCCTGCTCATCTATTCTGCCTACTCTCTCCCACCAAATAGAGAGAACTCACAGTCTTTTCATGTCTCTGTTTTATCTTGTTGCCATGTTGCAATAGCTCTGAGAAAACCACTGTCACTCCCTTTTACTCCATAGGAAGTGGACAGAGCTCCCAAACCTCAGAGGTACAGAGACAACCAACTTTTGAAGAGTCCTTGAAGAGTCACACCAGACATGTCTATACAGAGCAACAAGCAGAGTTTGGGATGGTTCTGGAACCAATCCCAAGTCCTCTAATAGCTGAACAAGTGCACAACTCATCCCATTTGGCTTCTCATAGAAGTGGCCCCTTCCCTGGAACTGCCCAAGGGTCAGCGCCTCGGGTTGAAATTGCAGTGGAAAAATAATTCATTAAAGAAGGGATGGCTGCATCAGGAGGGAGGGAGGGAGG